ATAAATAAGGTAGCTATAATTATAACCCCAATTAGGGTACTTATAACCTTACTTACTAAGTCCCATGATCCTCCAAGTGCGCATCTAAGACCACGAGTGTCACTAGCAGTCAGAGTTTAACCAAAAGCCCGCACTCTACAGGAGCTTACTCACGGTTTCTGCTTCGGTCGTATCAGATAATCACAAACTGCACTCCAATCGGCCTTCGTCCAACAGGGCCTTTTCTTAGGCCACCTTTTATTCCGGTTGCTATTGCCGCTACTGCTACATGAGCACGATCTGGCTGACATCTCTTCAGCTAACCTCTATGCCAGGCCTCCTTCACAACGGATCCCATTGCTACAATGAAAAAAAGGGGAGGAGTTTTCTTCCACTTCTGCAACTTCGAGTCAGACGATGGCTGGCTTGTTCGTCTCTGTGTGTGTAGCTCTCTGCTTAAGCTAAAGGTTTCAGTCTCTTGGGTTCAGGCTTGAGGGCTCGAACACACTGGATATCCATGGGGTGGTTGGTGTGAGGCCATACTTCGCTTTCCCGGGCCAGCTTCGTTTGTTGCAGAGGTGGAAGGAACCCCGCCGAGCTTCACTACGTTCAGTCGGATGGAATTATGGAGCCAAGACTTGCCCACAAAGAATGCAATGCTACAGAAAGCAGTTCACACCTTGAGGCGGGGGTCTTGTGGTCGACAGCCCAGAAAAGCACATAAGCAAAAGTTAGGATAGTGATATCCCAAAAAAACCTTTATCATGAAGCCCAATAAGGTGAGGATGTCCCTATAACATGCCTATGCTGATGTCCTTTTTGGGTTCCTAGCTATAGCGTCCAGGATTCCGGGGCACGAATGATAGACCATTATGTAGAACCCGCTCTACCGACTAGTCCGGACCAACATCATCTCGCTTAAGCCTCGAAGTTCTCCTTACCCCTGCCCCGCATTTAGGGTTTTTAGGGGTTTATGGTTGGGGTTTAGGGTTTAGGGGTTTAGGCTTTAGGGGTTCAGGGTTGTGGGTTTTCTCAATTCCTCAACTTATCAGCAGGCAAACGATTAACACGGTTACGCTGGATTCTGAGTCCGCAGTTTCGTCTATCCTTGACCCCTTGAGCTCAATCCTACAGTCCTACAGCCAACCATAAACAAAAAAACAATAGCAGACCAAAACACAAACAAACGAACGAACGAGCGAGCAAACAGACAGAACAACAAACGAACAAACACACAAGCAACCAACCAAACAAACAAACAAACAAACACACAACACAACAACCAAGCAACCAAGCAACCAAGCAAGCAAGCAAGCAAGCAAGCAAGCAAGCAAGCAAGCAAGCAAGCAAGCAAGCAAGCAAGCAAGCAAGCAAGCACCGCCGGCGCCGCCGCCACCACCACCAGCACCAGCACCAGCACCAGCACCAGCACCAGCACCAGCACCAGCACCAGCACCAGCACCAGCACCAGCACCAGCACCAGCACCAGCACCAGCACCAGCACCAGCACAGAATCTAAACCTTATAAAATGAATTTCAATGCCGCCACCATTTTGGCGATCGCCGGGCAGTCAGAGTCTCTTCCAGAAAATTGCACGACTGAGAGCCCTTCAGTTTTTGAGTTGATGAGCTTTCCTAAACTCTAAACGCTAATGTAGCAGCCTTAGCAATAGAATAAGGCTTTGGGGTACATTATGCAATAACTATACTAAGGAACCCCCAAAATAGTGTAGTATAGGTAATTCTTACGGCCCCTATACGAAACCCTAAATCCTAAACCGTCACCAAAGTTGAAGGAAACTACAGGTGGGGAGTTTAAGGTATATAAGGCTTCCAGAAGGTATAGAGACCTTCTATGAGGCTCCTACAACGGTAACTACCCACCTGAAAATGTCCTAGACCCTAAACCCTAAACCCTAAACCCTAAACCCTCAACCCTATCCCCTATCCCCTATACCCTAAACCCTAAACCCTAGTAACAGCAGCAGTTCACGGACATCGGCGTTCGGATCAGGACTTGCTTTGCTTGTAGGACTGGCCTTCAGGTCCGAAGTGTTCGGGCTTAGAAAGCCTCCAAAACCCACAACCTTAAACCCTAAACCCTAAACCCTAAACCCTAAACCCTGAAGCCTAAACCGTAAAGCCTAAACCCTAAACTCTAAACCTTAAACCCTAAACCCTTGGCCGTAAACCTTAAACCCTTAACCTTCAACCCTGAACCCGCCCTAAACCTTGAACCCTCAACCCTAAAACCTTAAACTTAAACCTTAAAACCGAAACCCCAGCACTAGAAGCCCTAAGCCTCGCAAGTCACCCCGTTGAAAGAGGAGCTGTGTCACGTCGAAGGGTTCGGTTCTCAGGGCCTGGCAATTAGAATAGGTTTTTAGGGTTTAGGGTTCAGCTTCTAGGGGTTTAGGGTTTAGGGTTTTGGGGTATATTATACTATAGTTACAATAAGGAACCTATACTCTTTATACGGAACCCCCCAAATAGTATAGGTAATTTTTGAGGCCCCTATATTAGGGTTGACGTGGCAGGTAGTAAGGTTGCAGCTCGGGCACAAGACTTTCCGGAACAGCGGTTAGGGTCTCCCAGAATCAATATCATCTTGGGTGGTTGTCAAAATTATGGTCCCTTTTTGGGTCCTCATTATAACACGGCACCCATTATTTAGGGTACCCCAAAAGGGACCATAATTTTGACAACTACCCATATCATCTTGTTCTTCTGGGCGACAGGGTTTTGAACCCACGCCCAGCGCAGAGGCAGAATTGGGTTTAGGAGACATTCTTCATTCGGAAGAAGCCTCGCTTGCACAGGCAGACTTCGTCGTCACAACTTTGCCGTCCAAGAGCCACCATAATTAGAAGCTCGGGGGCAGTTCAAATAATCGCCACTGGGAACTTGAAAGCTGTTCCTGCGATTTGGTACAGCGACAGATCTCTGGCTTGACTTGAAGGATGATGGGACTTAGTACATCACATGGTGTTATAACTGAGTACACAATTATGGCTGTTGACGCTTATTTGCTAAGTCCCCTCACCATCCAAGTAGCTCCCAAGCGACATGCTTGTAGTCACCTGTGATTCTCGGACCTGACATGTCTTCAGGGTCTAAAAAGATCCTGTGCAAGCCCTGCAGCAACAAAGCACTGCGACCCAGAGCCTGAACCTTGAAATCCAAGAACATCGAAACCTTCCCGCCGACAGCCCAAAAGCTCTGTGCCCCTCCAAACCGTGTACTACTGAAACGTGCACGATTCCCAATAGAACCTTGTTCCAATTGGTTACTAAGGCCTCAATATATATATATATATATGTATACTATATATATATATATACTATATATATATATATATGTACTATATTTATATATGTACTATATATATATATATTATACATACATATATATATATATAACCCGCAATGGACCCGCAAGCCCTGTGCCCAAGAAGCGCGCCCTGGACGAGCTGAACATGATCCTCTCAGGTCAGTCCATGTCCGAATCGTCCTCGCGCGAGTCTCTACTTGGAGGATCATGGGACGTAGTAACTAGGGCTATAAATAAGGTAACTATAATTAAGGGTTTAGGGTTTAGGGTTTAGGGTTATGGGTTATGAATAAGGTAACCATAGTTATAACCCCAATTAGGGTACTTATAACCTTACTTACTAAGTCCCAGGATCCTCCAAGTAGGGGGTTTTCACTTGTGCATTCGGGTGCAGACAACTACTTGTCAAAGCCCTAGGCTAGGCTGCGCAAGACCCCAGTACAGGCTGCGGCGTTGTTCGTCGTCAACTACACCGCTTGACAGCAAACCATCTTCAATAATGGACATAGTGCGAAATAGCGCTAGTAAGATTAAACTGGGCCAGTGCCCAGGTCATAATGCATATATTAATTCAAAAACTTACGAAGGTTCATCGCGAAGCAACGCTCAAGTGGAAGCTTCGAGCCCGAAAGGGCTTATGCTAATTTATTGACACGCTATGTTTTGAAAAGTTGTTGCTGCCTGTGTTCTTGTTCCATTGATCCCCGGGGCTCAGACTCATATGCAGCTGCATGTAGACGTACACTCTTTCCTGGCTTTCACCTTGCCAAGTCTTCGTGAACCACAATGATGTGTCCCCGTGGATGCCAACGAGACAGTGAGTCCTCTTCTATCTGGTATGCACACACATGTGCATACGTATGTAGGTGTGTGCATATCTGTACGTAGGATATATACAGAGGGCAAATACGTATGGCTCATCTCAGACTCGACTGCGACCCCTGAACTTCACGGGATCGTGGCCCTAATGTCCACCAAAGCGATATTACCCCGTCTTGACCTATCGGAACTCTCAACACGCTGCCGCTTGCGGAGGTTTGCAAGACAGGAAACCCCTACGTCACAACCTGACAGGTGTTTGTAACAACTGCATGCAGAACCCTAATCGAGGTTCAGGTTTAGGATTCCCGGTTTCAGTAAAACCCTAAACCCTAAACCTTAAACCCTGAACCCTGAACCCTACTAAACCTTCACACCATCAGAAACCTCTGCTCATGAATCTACCTCTTGCCTCGCTCCCTTAGCAGAACATCTTTCGGAATTTTGCCTGCCTCACCTTCCTAGACCCTCCATCTACCCTCTATTAGACCCTAAATACCCTTAATTTGGGACCATATACCCCTATTTGACGGTACTTGGAGGGTCCTGGTCAGGACCTTTCGACGAACATCCATGCCAAAGACCCCTGAACCAACTACAGCCCATGCCTACTACCGCCAAACCCGCAACGCTCTGCTGGAAACCCCTTGCACAGCTCTTGCACACCCCTTCTAGACAGATACTCTTCCAAAGTCCCACGGGTAAACCTGGATAAACCCCTACAGCCACCAAACTTACAAACAACCCTGAACCCTGAAACCCTAAACCCTACAAACCCAAAGCCCAAAGCCCTGAAGCCCTAAAGCCTATAAACCCCAAAAACCTGAAGCTTACTAAAGCCCTAAACCCTAGAGCCGGCAAAGCGGTGAGGGGTTTAACGCCGCACCTCTTCCTCGGAAAGCTCTTCCTCTGTGCCGCTAGCATCGAAACGGACCTCGCGAAGCCCGGATCCTACTTGGGGTTTCTAGGCTTTTGGGCTTAGGGTTTAGGGTTTACAGTTTAAGGTTTAGGTCTTAGGTCTACGGGGTCTTGTAGGTTTTGCGGTTTAGGTTCAGGGGTCTTGTAGGTGTTACGAGAGTTGTAGAGAAGTGGGGTTTTGTAGAGTTTGCCTTAGGTTGGCCGGTATCTCTTGGATAAGGGCTGAAAGGGTTTCTTTCTATAAGGGTTTCATAGTATCCCCTTACAACAAGGGTGGCACTTCTCCTGTGATTAATCTTTAACAAGGAAGCCCCAGACCGCTAAACC